TATGGAGATCTGGTTTTAATTCTCTGTACTCTGACTTCCTATGCTGCTGGGCTGGGCACATTTCAGAGGCAGATGGTTTTTTTAGGGTTCACGTACTTAAAAGAATTCACAGAAATAAAAAACAAGGAAGAAAGAAAACGCTGTCACTTGAAGCAGCCCTCCACATGCAGAGTGCACTTTCTGACACGTAAACCTCTGGTAAACGTGCTCTTCAGCACCAAAGGCCAGAGAAAAGAAGTCCAAAGGAGCTTTGCCGCAGCTCTTAGTTCTGCCGACCGTCTCACCAAGAACATGCGTATCCGAACCAAAGGGAACTTCCCTTTTTCAAGGAGTCTTAACAGTTTTGGGGAGGAAGAGATCCACTTTTAGCAAGTATCTTAATTTTCACAAAATACACAAAGAAGAAAGGGCAGCTAACAGATCACACTTTTTGGTATAACATTATACACCAATAATAATCACACACCAATATTTAGAGAAGTTGTTTTGTTTGCTCATTTTTAATGATATCAGTGAAGTTGACCCAATTTTCATCTGACACTGGATTTGAAGCAGCTCCCAGATTTGCCCATATATTGCAGATATCACCTTATTAATAAACTGTCTTCATAATGCATTACTTTTTTCATTAATCATGAGTTTTAACTGTTACTGCTGATGACAACATCTAAGGTATAATTTACCAGAGCTGAATTTTTGGGCAACCTCAAGCTAAATCTCTGAATACTCTAATTCTGCTTAGGTTTAGAAGATTGCTTCAGTTGCAATCTCTCTTGAATTATTAGTTCAAGTCAGTTAACAGTAATTATGAATAGCAATCACATTCACAGACTGGTTATGTGTTTAAAAAAAAAATTCTTAAAAAAGATCATGCAGAAATCATGTTTGGAACAATGACATGGAGGTGCAAAATAACTGACAGCATACAAAAATCCTGCTTTTATTGAAAACTTATTATAAAAGTTTATTGAAAAGAGTTTCCCCTCTCACATGGTTATTTTCTATTTCTTGAGCACTCCTCATTTGTTCAATGCTGTGGAAAGCTCTTTTTCTCCTTGGCTCTCTGGCATTGCTCTCAAGTTTAACACTATTTTCCTCATTTTTACTGACAATCTGACTATCTCCAGCATTTGGATTTTGTAGCTGTGTGTACAAGCTCTGCCTGGTAACAGAAAGCTTTGGACAGGAAACTCTATGTGAAGGAAAATACTGAAACCATCATCACAGAACAATATATTCTTGAATGTTCTGCGAGACCGGTTCCACAACCCAAATCTCTGCGTGCATAACATGAAGTGACGTTTCCATAATGCCAAGGAACCACAGTAAATTGTCACACAATGGCTTTTTCTTCTAGAAAGCTACCTATCAGCTCAACTCTTACAGTGGTCAGTCACCATTTCCATTGTAAAGTCCTACTTTTTTGTACTTATAAAATCTGGCAATAAAATACTGCGCCAAGACTAAACTTGGCACACAAGTTCTGTCCAGAAGTAACCTCAATTCATCTTTTTCAGTTAGCAAACTAACTTGACTTAGTTATTTTTAAAGAAGGTGTTCTGGTTTTCATCACTTTCTTGCAGTCAGGAGTTTAGAGTCATCCCCCCATTAACTGCTTGGTTAAAGCAGTTTGCAAGAATCCTTCTGAACACGAGGGTCCCAGGAGGCTGAGTGCCAGAAGCAGGACCCTGGATGCTGCTCTGCGACTGCTCTCAGCTATAGGCAGCACGTCTGAAGGAAGGCAGCAGAGCTGGGTTCCTGTGAGTCATGTTGCCTGGAGCACAGAGAGCTGGATTTAAACTTCAGCGTTTCTCCTTTACACCACTGGAGTCACTGGCCTCACATCTTTGAATTGGATACCCCATGGAACCATACAGAGGTATCTATATTCCTCACTCTACTCCTTCATGAACTGCCCGTGGAAAATTTTATCAGCAGAAATCAATTTGGCAAAGTGTTCTGGATATTTTAATTAGAGTAAATGAGAGTTTACTAAAATACCCGCTTATCATTTTTGGAGAGCAATTGTAACTGAGGCCTTCTGCAGAAGTCCCTCCCCCTCCCCCGCGTAATTCTTTCCTAGCTCTTTCCATCCTTTCTCTCTTTAAGGTTTGTTGCTTGCAGCTGCTTAGAGCTCTCTCTGGCACTAGAATTCAACTCTGTTATTCAGCTGCTCCGCAACTCTCACCCTCTGAACCTGCACCAAGAACCCCACATGCATCAAGTTTCCTCAGTGCATCCTCAGAGCAAAGAGGTCTTTACTAATGGATCCTACTGTGGGATCTGATCCTCAAACATATTTAGTGTGATATGTTTTTCCCTCTGGAGTTGTCCAAGAACAAAGAAGGAAAATAATTTATTACTGTGAATATGCACCCCATTCTGATTAATCATGCCCATGACGCACATAAAGTCTTCCTGGGAACACCATTCATTGCTATCGTCAATTCTCAGCTGCTGTCTTTATTCTAGAGTATTTTGAGCCACACTTACACTTCACAGTTCGGCCTTCCCATTGTTACAATGTGTTAGCAATTAGAAAGAATAAACAAGTAGACAATTGTACCATATCCAAGGAATAAAATCTACAAGGATATAAAACAAATTAGGAATCAACAATTCTTCCCCAAATCCAGAAAGCTAAAAATAGAGCATGCAATTAACTCCCCAAACACACCATGTATTTTAAGCCATGGTTGAACAGTCACTCCGATTTGGCATATACTTCTACAGTTATTGAAGTCCCATCCTCTCCTTACTCTTCATCTCCCCCTCCTCTCTTGTACATGCAACCCTGTATGAAGGTAGGCCAGGAAGGTGTCTCTACTGAAGTCAAGCTTTTCTTCCTGCTTAGTTAGTTTTCAGCTGGTTCAGCACCCTTCACGTGACACACCGTAGTACCACACCAATGCCACAGGAAAAGAGGGTGAGATGAGGTGAGGATTGCATCAGCTGGTGCGACTGCCAAAGAAACACTCATGCAACCACAGCCCAGGCTCATTCGGAAACCTGCTTTCTCCACTAGCTTGCTCCCTGACAGCTCCCTCTGGCAATGGCAGTGTCACAAGACCTCAGCGTCTGGAGCAGCTTCTCTGTGCAGTGGGTTTGCTCAAAGGTGCTGGGAAAATCCCAGCCTCTGCCCTGATGTGATACAGGGCAAGTGTTGTTTCCTCTTTGACAAGATGCTGTCATTGCTGCTCTAACTTAAGATTGCATGGTTGAGAAGAAGAAAACTAAAAGTTGTCATATTTTATTACACTTTCACCTGAAAGTCCCTCTTTACCCCTAAGTGGCCCCAGTGCTCAACTGCTGGAGGTCCCTAAGAGGGTTTTCCTGCTACAGTTAGGAGTGACTATCAACCTTTTGTGTTTCTGCTTGCTTGAAATGGTTGTAGCTCCACACGCTCTTCAACCCTTCAAAAGCATATTCCTATATCCAGCCTATGCACCATAAGGAGTGCAGTTAAGCAAGCAACACAGGCTGATGCTTTCCTTACACTGGGAAGATTTTCAGCTGCCATATATGGCAGATTTAAAAGCCTTCTGTCAGTCTGACAACTCCAAAAGACTCAGGCAGGAGGAAAGATTTCACCCTACCAATGTTATTATTTCAACTTCTCTTTCCGCTAGCTAATGACAAATTCAGTGTAAAAGCACATAGTTAAAACTGAAAGAAATACAGGCAGAGCTGGAAATTATCTGCATTTGTCTAGTTTTGCTCTTGCTTGAGCAGGTTAAGTTTATTAACTGAGCACTAAATAAGGTTGGTTCACTGATGCTCTGGAGTCGCGACTTCTTAAAGGAAGATGGCACGTGCATGTGAATGCCGTCTACTAAAGAGCACGATCACTGTTTTTGTTCAGTTGGGCACATACATTTTAAAGTGATATGAAACTCAGCTGTTTTGCTCTGCACGGGTTCTCCTAACTGCTCACTTGGTTTTAATTCGTTTGGATTTTCACCACAGAATCTTGCTTTGACTGTCCCGATTTGAATAAAAGAAAGCTCTGCCAAAACCACATCACATCAAAACCACAGGAAACCATGAATTTGGCACTGTTTTGATATGGAAGCTGTAAACAGTGTGCAGGTTCACTCAGAACTGAACTACTCTCATTTGAGTTATGAAACATAACAAAACTTCCAACAAAATAGGTCAAAATTCTGAGTTACTAAAGAAAAAAATATGTTACTTTTTCATGGTAGAGGATTTTGTTATATATATTTTCCCCTATTTTTTTTCCTCTAATTATAACCACAATGTGGAAGAATAAGATGAGAAATTTTCTCCAAGTTGGCGTTAAAAGGGGATTTTGGTAATTCTCACAGCTCTAATATACATTCTATTAAAGACAGGGTGGTTTCCCATTTGCATTCTTGAGCTTGGATAAATGTAAAAACCACAGTTACAATATGAAGCTGTAAATAAGTTTTATGTTTCATTTGAAACATAAAGCAATTGCAAATGATTTACACCCCTGCTCAGGAGAAAATCTACTGTTTAAAACCCACATTAACTTTTCAGCTGCCAAACAATTTTTTTTTCTCCTCTCCAGGATTCCCCTTACCAAACTGCAAGGAAACTTCATAAAAATGGAGAAAGTCTAAAATAATTTTTTTTTGCCTTCAAAATTAACGCTGTTTTAAGAAACAAGTATTCGTTAAGAAGTCACAAGTTCACTAAGGATGAAAAGAAACAATCCCTTTTTCTAGACTAATCCTGAAAACAATCCATATTCCAAATCTAGGCAAATCAGCAGTCTGAAGGTGGAGCTATGCTCAGGTGCTTTACACACCAGCTGAAGTAGCTTTAGTAGTAACTGGCAGAACACAGTTATGTAAAATGGGTCCTAACTGGCTTTCCTGCACTGCCTGCAAGAAAAAGACAGTCTAATCTTGCCAACCTTTACTTTTATCAGATTTTTAAAAGAGATATTTTGGATGTCAGACAAACTCAGGAGAGGCCCATAAATACAAAGACCCACGTATCACATATCTGACCTGTCATGGAGTTTTCAGACGTGCACAGTTGCTCCCGCAGCTTCTCCACATCATCCGGATGAACCTGCTCATAGAGGGTGCTGCCAAACCACTCGGACTGGGGCTGGTTCAGCACAGGAGTCACAGAATCTGACACATAGATCACTCTCCCCGTTTCAGCTGCAACTACAAACAGGAACCCATCTGCAGCCTCCAGGATAAGATGTTTCAGTTCCTTCCAAAGAAAGGATTTGATTAGAATGCCAGCAAGGTGAGGGAATAAAATAACACATTTGCCACCCGGATGCAATAGAACTTTGTTGTGATTTTAGTAACTGATCACAATGTGGGCAGACTTTTTTCATGCAGTATTGATGTAACTACACATCCAATCTTGCAGCAAGACATAAATTACCAACCCCAATAACAAACACCACTTTGTTTTCCTTTATTATCTTTCATCTGGCGATCTCGATGCACTTTAGGAAAATTAAGTAACTAAAATTCATGGCATATTGTGTGACGGGTATCTAATATTAAAAAAAAAAAAGTAATCTAAGAATACAAACAAAGGAAATGAAAAGCAATAAATCGTATGGCAAACCCATGGCTTAATTAAACTTTCTGGATAATTTCGCTGGAAAGAAACCAACTAGCCTTTCCTTTAATCCGCATCCCTGGACTAGCTCTGTTTGCAGATGAAACAGGCACTGGGTAGAAGAAAGAAACTGCAATGGGAATGAGGACAGGAATCCCAAGTCTCCTCTCCCATCAGAGGACTCAGGCCACTAAACAGGGAAGTTGTATCATTTCTTGCTTTCCTTTTCCAACCTCTCAATATGAAGCTTCAGAGACACGGTTTGAAATATTCCTTTCTTTAGCTTTTTTTTCTGACCGTTCTCTCCACTGAGTACACTGCTGCTACATGGAAGATAAAAGAAAAAAAGCCATTTCTGCACTGCAAGGTTCAAAAAGCAAGACGCAATGAGAGGTGACTAGGGTGCCCTACAGAAAGGGAGTTGAATGACAGCATCCCTGAAGAAGCATGGACCAGAGCACAGGAGATGTGAACAGAGAGGGGAGCAGCAGCTGCTGTTTGTCTGTTTGAAAGAAGCTCTGCCTCTAGCCGTAACTTACATGTGTAAGTACTTAAATTGCTTCAGCCACAAAAATGCACATTACACCCATAGGACTTCAAAAACTATGAAGGTGGTAGGAATTTTCAGTGTGCTCAGTTGAACCTAGTCTTTCTTCAAGCACTGGGTGCATCTTTCTCCTTCCACCAAAAATGTGGACAGAGAATTTTCTCAGCCAGTGCAGATATAGTTCATGTCACCTCAGTTCAGCTGTCTAGATCTTTCACATAGAGGAAGAATAAAAAACATGTTTATTCTCAAAAAACTCAGGAGGAAGATACAAGTTTTTTACAGATCCACTTCTATTTTAGAGAATCTATGTTAGGATGGAAATAACCATTTTCTGGAGGTGATTATCTCTCTCCACAGCAAGAGACAGCAGGTGACATCTCTTCAGATAGACAGGTTTCAGTGATAAGAATCCCCTACTCAGGACAAAAGTGCCCAGTTAGCTGCTTCAGAAACAGGAATTTGTCACACAATTAAAATCGACTCCAAGCAGTCAGAATAAAAGAAAAACAAAGTTATGAATACAGACAGTTTTTGTTTAAGATTTAGTTCACACCAGTTACAACACAAAGTGATAAAAATAGTGCAGGATCAAACACACTCTGTTCCTCTCAGCACTTTCTCACATTGCTCAGGTCTCCAAACCTGAGAAAACTGACATTTGTAAAAAAAAAAAAAAAAAAA